TCTCTGTATTTGTTTCTGAAAGCACCAACTCTAGAAGAATGACTTGCTGATGACCACTGCAGTTGGCGGATGGAAATGACTTGCTCTGTACTCCACACCAAGTAATCTAGAGGGAGGGAGGGAGCAGTAACCCCAAAAGGAAGACTCTGAAACAAGGCTTCTATGCTTTGTTATGAGACTTCTTCGCAAAGTTTCTCATGAGCAAGGGCCTTGTTTTTATTTTCTCTTCCTTTCAATGAATGAGACAAACACTGTGTATCTGAGAAAGGCCTAATCTTTGTTATTTTATGTCCTTCCTTGATGTCTGAAATCGTTCCTCACCGTTTGCACCTTATTTGTCAAGCTCAGGACCAGAGAAGTGGACCACAGAATGTTCCACTCAATAGCAAGCTCTTTGTACTGACCCCGAGCTTCAGTCCTGAGTCTACACTGCTTTCTCCACCCTGGGAAGGGAGAGAAGGAAACTGGAAGGTTCTGGGCACCTTTGTTGGGTTTATTAATTCTTTCATTTAATAAACATGGAAAGCCTAGTCAATTTTAGGCTCTATGTGTGATGGAAGAGCTTCAGAGATGGGTCAGACATAATCCCTTTATTAGTCTGATTTTCTGTTGCTCGTAACAAAATACCTGGAACTGGGTAGTTTGTAAGAAAATGAAACTTGTTGCATACAGTTTCAGAGGCTGAGAAGTCCAAAGTCCAGGGAACACATCTGGTGAGGGTTTTCTCTGGTGGTAGCTTTACAGCAATGCGGGGATCTTGCATGTCAGAAAATGGTTGAGGAGAGAGTCTCATTGCTCTCCTTTTAAAGCCCTCAGAACCACACCCATGACCACCACTATTAATCCATTCACTATGTATGGTCCTCAGAATCCAATCACCTCTTCAAGGCCCCACCTTTCAATTACTATAATAGGATTTTCCACCCTCTTAACAGTCATGGTGGGGATCAAGTTACTAGTACATAAAACTTGGGGGACACAATGCATATCAATCTCTAGCCTGAGGAAGCTCATGGTTTTTGGGATGGATGGTGGTGTGGATGAGGAGTGGTGGACAATGAATGATGACATTAAGGAATGGCCACCAACAGCAGGTGACTGTGAGTGTGGACCTTATACTCCTGTTTCCTACTTGTCTATTCTTCTTGAGCACTTGAGAAACAGTTACAGTCCGATTGCATTGACACCTTCTATTAAAAATACACACACTCACACGTACTTGTAAACATACTTGTAAACCAAACTTTCCCTACACTGGCAATTTACAGCATAGGGAAAAACACCAATACATAATGGCATAAATAGATGTTTTTTGCAACACTATTTATACTGACAAAACACTGGAAAACAGGAGAATTTCCTGTTAACTAATCATTTATTCATCCTATGGGATATTTTGCAGCTACTTAAAGGAAAAGAATGAATGAAGCTCTACAAGGTGACTTGGAAGATTTGTCTTGAGCTATTGCTGAAGGAGAAAAGCAAGATAAACAAACGTGTGTGCAATATGCTGCTACTTCTTGTAAAACGATGATAAAAATCTCATGCACAATACATGTGAATATACAGGTATCTAGAGAAATCCAAGGAGGAATGCACATAGATGGTGGGTATTTTCTATTTGCCTCCCTGCCCTTCCCCAACCAGCAGTGTGCTCCAAGCCTGAACTTTATGGGTTGCATCCATAGTCGAGTGTACCCTTTGGTTTCTGGTTGGATGGTGAATGGGAGGCTCCATCAGGAGATGAGGAGGAAGGAGTGTGAGGTGGAAGTATTTTTCCCTGGCTCCTTCCTGCCAGTGGTGGTGGCTGGAGGTAGGTCCACCCCTTTACTAAAGTCCATAGCTCCTGGGGGGGGGTCTCCATGGGACCACTCTCTCTCTCTTTTTTACAGTCTTTATCTTTGGCCCTTTGGGCCTAGAGGACTATCTGACTTTGTTTCCCCATCTTATGTTAGTTTTTCTTAACCCTGCTCACACCTTGAAAATTGTCCCTTTGCTAAAGTCACCTTGAATACTCTGTCTGGATGTGCCATCTGTCTCCTGCAAGATCCCAGCCTGATAAGGTTAACATGGGGTCTCCGCAGGGAGGGATTAGGAGGTGAGAGACAGTGATAGAGAGGAGAGGAGATGGGAAACCAAGCTAAAAAGGAAAAGAAAAAAAGGGGACCTATGGAGTCAAACGAGTTTATGGACATGCATGGATATACATGGAATAGCCTTAAATAAAATAATAAAAAAGAAGAGGATTTAATGAAGTAATCCCCTGTCCCACCCCTTCTTCACAACAGAAACACTAGAAGAAGCTCCCCTCTCTGTGCTCACTCTTTCTTTTGCCCCATGTGCCTCCCCCAAGCCCAGAACAGGCAGCTCCTGTGGGTGACTCTTCCTTGCTCTACCCCCTCTGAGTGGCCACTGTGAGTACACGTGGGGCAGGGAAGGGATGGTCCTGGAGGTGGGGGAGCCTTCCAGATGCTCCAGCCATGCCCAGGCATTCAACATCTTTCTATCTGCAGGTTCTGTTCATGTTGGTCCTTCTGCTTGGTCCTTCAAAGTCCAGTTCATATCTTTCCTTCCCCAGAAAGTCTTCCCAGACCTCGTCTTCCCTACTCTTTGACAACTTTAATCTCTCCTTTCTCCCTGTGTCTTCCCTTTTCCATGTGTCTATTGTCACTTTTTTCCACAGTAAGTCATTGCTTGGTCTGTTTCAGGCACTGAAACAGAAGCTGTTTGAGGGCAGGCACTGGGTTTACTGCCCAGGCACAATTCTAGCACCTAGCCCAGGGCCTTGCACTCAGGAGGTTTTCACTGACTGTACATTGGATCGAATTGAATTGACTAATTGATCAATTATAGAGATTGGATCTCTAAGCAGAACCAGTTCATTTTTTTGACTTAGGTATGAAGACTTCTGAACACAGAGAGGAGGTGTAACTTGCCTGGAAGCTCTGAGCTAGCATAAGCAGATCTGAGTCTGGAGCCCCTAGTCCAGAGCCTGCTTGGAGGACGTGCATGGCCTCTCACTGCCCGAAACCTCTCAGTCTCTTCCCATTCAGCCCCTCAGCCTCGGGGTGTCCTGGCTGGCAAGGCACATGTCTAAAGTGGTTCTTTCTTCTGCCATGCTGAGCTCTCTATGGCTTTCTGCCCCAGAATATCCACTTGTCACTGACCCTTCAGGGAGAGGCAGAGGGAAGCATATCTCCTGGGACCCTGATATGTTATACTTTCCAGAAACCTAGAGTGAAGCATGTGAAGTTGACAGTCCTGTTTTATTTCAGAAGAGGGGCTATGAACTCTGCATGCATAACCAGAGAAGAAACGCTTATTCATCTTTTTCTGACTTCCAGAAAATTTACATTCCTTCTAACCCAGGGCCTGCTGCATATATCTCACTACAGAAATGATGACCCTGGTGATTTATGGCTCCAAACTGAATCCCTTCCAAAAGGATTATGAGACATTCTGGACCTGAAAGTAAGTAAGTTTTTGTCGCACACACATACAGACTCTCTCTCTCTCTCTCTCTCTCTCTCTCTCTCTCTCACACACACAAAATGTAACCTAGTCACAAGCTTCCCCATTAGGCTGCAGGCTTCCTGGGGCTCATGATGTCACTATGGCCTTGGAACTCACCTCACTTGGAGGGACTATTGCTATGGGCGTTCTGGTCCCCTAAACAAGAGTCATTCTGGGCTGCTCCTAGAGCAAGGTATTGCTGATGCCAAACGTGAAGAATACACGTTACAGTATTGCTCTCATTGGTTCTTATTTTACACCACTATCCAGTTCCTTGTCTCTGTTCTATCCTCTACCCATCTCCAGAAGGATTATTCCAGAACACAAATCCTGCTGTGCTCCTCTGCTTAACACCTTTCAATCGCCCAAAACTCCACTGCTCACATGATGAAATTCCAGATCTGGAGCACATCACTCAAGACTCCTGCCAACTTCACCAAGCCCAGCTCTTTCTGCTTCTCTCCAGGCAGCCAAGTTCAGCTGAGATGGAGTTGAGATTCCTCAGCTCTTCCCTGAACTCCCCCTTGTCTTTCACAGCATTCTCCTTTTGCATATTCCATTCTCTCTCCCTAGAATACCATTCCCATTTTTCTATATCTAGAGATCTTCTGTATATGAATTGGGCTAAATCCTCTCCAAAGACTTGTTCTTTCGTGGTTCTTACAGTATTTTATTTTGCTTCTTACATTTATTTTAATAAATAATTACAAACCATGTGATTTCACACAACAATCCAGCTTCTCAGCCTCTTGAAAAATTAGCACATGAGGTCACTGTGCCCTTGCTTTAGCAAGGTGACCATTTATGGGAGCTGAGCAGCACCTGCCCGTTTTAGACAGAGCACAAAGACTTCAGTTCACTTCAGTCCCATCCATCCTGCTTGAAGGCTCTTCAGTTTCTGATTCCTGTCCTCTGAGGTCTTCATAGCTGGCCCCACTGTCACCTCTTCTAAGGAGTCTTTTCAGTGTCCATCAGGTAGAGTATTCCCTTCTTTCTTTGTGCTTTCAT